GTCACGAAATTTTTAAAATCTCTTTCAAAGTCTGTGCTAGCTTGTACATTCTTCTTGTCACGATCAACAACATGAGGAGAATTTTTCAAGATTGGCATTCTTTTGTTTCAGCCTGAAGCAGGAGGCGATGGTACAAAACAAAATAGCCTTCTTAACTTCGTAATGGCCTTTCACACTACCTCAATGCGTGCCAAGGAAGCTCTCCGAAGCTTTAGGCGTCGTACAGAAGCTAGCAGACAAGAAAGAGAGGTTTCAGGAGTTACGCCGCCCCGGGCTGTAGAGCCATCTACAGTGAAAACTGATTCTTTGACTGAGAGCACCTCAGAAGACAAGACAAACGATGTTCCAGAAGTAGTTGTCAGTGGTTCCGAGGGAGAAAAAGACACGAAAAATACACAGGAGGAAACAGACGAGGGAGAAGCGGAACAGGAAGAGCAGGTCGCTCCTGAAGATAATCCATCAGCATCTCCAGATTCGGATGAAATCAAGGAATCCAGTGAGCATGAAAGTGAAGGCGGAGAATTCGAGTCAGAAGAAGATTCAGTGCAGCCAACGTAAGTAGAGACTCTTTTTGTGTAACTGATAGATTTTCCTACTTTCAGTTACGAACGTTGGCGGCTGACTTTTGTTTTGAATTCTACCTGTGAGAAAAGTTCCGGTGTCTTTATTTCTACTGCTATCTTGAGATAAATTGGGATTTTATTTTCTTTGACAGTGTTCAGTAATTTGCAAAGTTGCAAGAAGAATAACGGCCAATTTAGACAGAGCGATTTTTGCCTACAGCTGTCACATGCGACGAGGTTACGACACAACATAACAAACGAAATCAGTCCCAAATGCTTCCGGTCCAGACATAACTGGATCAGGTCGGTTTACTCGAGACCGGAAATGGGAGCGGTTTCGGACTGGAACCGTTAGGAAAGGCCCTGTGGGTCAATAGACTGAGTTGCGGATTATTCGTCGACGGAACCAGAATTAAGTTAGGAAGCATGTCTTTAGCATGTTGCGTGCGACAGTTCTAAGCAAAACTGATCGAACCTTCTAGATCAACCCTCTCGCAGGGAGTGAAATGGTTGAGTTTGACAGATTTGGAGTAAGTCAATAAAGAAATCTATTTCTACTGGGGAGCAGGGCTGGCGCAGTGGTGAGAGCGCTCGTCTCTCACCAATGTGGCCCGGGTTTGATTCCGCCCTGGTGCCATATGTGGGTTGAGTTTGTTAGTTCTCGCTTTGCTCCCATGGTTTGTCTCCGGTTTTCCTTCCTCCACAAAAACCAACATCTCCAAATTCCATTCCGACCAATGTAGAAGGCCTGCATGAAAACCTGCTAATTAAGGCTGATGTGGCTTCCTCTTTAAACAATTGTAATTTATTTTTGTTTTATATTTCCTTGAATTGTATGGCAAACTGCCCTCCCTTATTTGAATACTCCATTAAATTATTTTCAGAGCCAAGAGACCAGGTGTGTGCTGGAGATGTTTATCAGCTGCATTCAGGTTTACGGTTTCTGTCATCATCTTGTTGGTGGTTTTGGTGATTGGAATAACCATCGTGAACAGGCACAGCAGCGTCGTGATAGACAGATACTCTATTTTAGCAAGAATACGTAAACTGTTGGAGCCCGTTGGACAAGTTATTTATTATCTTAAACCACCTAATTAAAGAGTTAAGGTTAACTTTGAGGTCAGTCACAGAATACATTATAAATGTAAGAAATTATTTATATTTTCCTTAGCTGTTAGTAATGTTTGATAATAATATATACAAGGAAATCTAAAGTATGTGGTTGTCTAAAAAATCAGAATAAGAGAGAGAGAGTAAATAGTATATCAGCAAAGCTGGAAAGTTGTAAAATTACTGACGTGATGAGATGTGTTATATATAGTGCAGAAGGTTTTTATGACAGTTACAACAATCACATTCCTCCATCGTTTTTACACGCAATTTTGTCCCTCAGTTTTCACAACTTCATCGCTATACTAGACCTCAGGATAATGCTCGCGCACGATACCATGTACCGCAATGATTTATTAAGAAGAGGTTAAATATATTTATATATCGCATGTAATTGCAGATTTTATACAACTATGAATTTTGCTAGTTGAGCAATTAAGTTAGACATTATAGATAATTGTGCTATCGTTGTTTTATAAAACGCTTAAATCTCCCGTTGTTTCATGCAGTTTGTAACGAGCTAGCTTTTGCCTGTGGTTCTACAGGTGAAAAGAGACTAATGTAAACTACGATCCAGTGGGTCGCAAAATCACTCTGCTAGGCCATTTCAGTCAGTGTTTGAATGTTTCATGAAAATGTGAAATGGCAAGTGTTTCCTGTGGTTCAGCCATCTTGCTGACACGCTAAGCCGTTTTAAATGTCAGCTTCACGACCTTCACGATGTTCGTTTTGTAACAGTGCTCCTGGAAGAGCCTGTAGGTTATTCGCATAGACCATTCTCATTGACCACTTACAAACCACATGTAGGCCATTTTATTCGTAGGAACATCTCACTCTAAACACCGCAGGTCTCTACTTCCTACCAAGAGATGTAACTCTCTGTGTTGCGCTGTTCTGGGAGCAGGTGTAGTTTTAACTTGCCTCAGCATATTAGCACGTAGCAGTCTTCTGTTAGTGAAAATTTACAATGTTTTCTTTATTATAGAGAAACTCACGGTCACATACATGACGACTTTGATTTCACATTTATAGTTCAGTGATTGTGTTCAGTACGCATTTAGCACCCCGAGACTTGTTCCAAACTCAGTTAACTATTTTAAAAATCAGAGCTACTATTAGATACCGATTCACTAATATTAGTTCGTGGCATTAATTTATTAAATAAACAGTTGTGCGTTTTCAGGAGTGCTAATTCGTTTATTTATATTTAGTTGTCATTATCCAAAGATGGTAACTGATACATGCACATATACATCTCTTGCTTTAATACTTAGCGGAATTAAGTTTGGCATTGTTGATGTTGGTGACTGAGTGTACGTTATGGGCATCGATAGATGCGCAGTTAACCATTCGGCTAAAAGTTACGTTTCACTGTACTGTCAAATACTGCTGGGTATGTTGACAAAAAAAAGAGGAGCTGAAATCCCCCGCTTGCTTGGCATGTTCTGTTCCTGTTTAGCTTTGGCTTACGTGTCAATTCTCGAAACAGCGTGTAACACAAGACGTCAATAGCGTGACGCGATCTCGTTAAAAACGGGAAGATATGAGGTGTCATGGGTCAATTAGTCAATCTTTCCCTCCATTTTAAAAGAAACCTCTCCGCACCTCAGTTCCAGCCTGGTAACTAAGGCACTGACACGAAAGAAATGACAGCATTTAAGCCATGAAGGGACAAGATTTATTTGAGTACTAACAATCGCTGCATTATGAACTTCCTTTCAGTACAGCTCGCTCGAACGTGTCTCAGTGAAGTGAACAATATTAGACAAATCGGCTTTGTGGTAACATCCAGTGAAAACTGACCAATCATATTCTGGTTAACACTGAAAGAAAGCTGTAAGAAATACAGGATGGAGAAATATCTCATTTGGAAGGTGTAATGTTTCACTTCGTGAATCAGTCTTTACCCTTCGATAGAGATCCGCCCACCTCATTTTCAGCCTGCCAGCTGAACCAGTCACACAAATAAATACATTCATATTTGTGACTACTGCCCTGCTTGTACAAACGAACGAGGGGCGAACCTGACCTCAAAACATCTGAAGAAAACGAAGATGCTGAGGAGGGCAGTTCTTTTGAGGATTGCGACTTTTCTTGTTTCCTTAGTAGCATTAAATCTTGAATAATGTGGTAATTTCGGACGTGCCTCGAAGGACACAGTATCTTTGTGCTCTAAAATGGTTTGGTACGTGATGCCTTTGAAACTGACCAATCGCGTTGTACCAACTAAACACTAGGGAGTTTAAGCGAATTACTACGGCTGGTGCTACTACGGCTGCCGTGACTGAAAAGGTCTGGGGAGAGTACGACTCGGTGGTCTGCCAAATGTTAAGTTTAGCGAGTAAAGCGAAATACAAAGATGAAAGAAACATCGGCTAAGGAGTTTAAAATCTCTTT